ATATAATTATTGATGAAGCTCAAGATGAGTCTAAAAAAGAGCAAACGACTATTGTATTGAGATTTGTTGACAAAAATGGATATGTGCATGAGCGAGTTTTTGGGCTTATTCATGCAAAAGACACTACCGCATTAACATTAAAAGAAGGAATATTTTTTTGTTCACTCTCGTTATAGTCTTGATGTTTGGAATATCAAAGGACAAGGTTATGATTGTGCAAGCAATATGCGGGGGAATGGAATGGGTTACAAGCTCGATTACAAATGAATGCCCTTTTGCATACTATGTTCATTTTTTGGCTCATCGTTTACAGTTGGCATTATTTGCTACATCAAAGGAAGTTATCCATATCCATCATTTTTTCACCAAATTGAACTCCATCATTAATATCATTGATGCTTCATGTAAGCGTAATGACCAATTAAAAGTTGCTCATGTCGTAAATACTACTTACTTACTTTCCATTGATGAACTTGAAAGTGGGAGAGGGCTTAATCAAATTGGTAGTTTACAAAGGTCTCGGGGATACTCGTTGGAGTTCTCATCTAAAATCTATTTCTAGCTTGATGAATATGTTTAGTACAACTTGTAAAATTTTACTGAATATTATTGAAGATGGAGCTACAACTTCTCAACGTGGAGATACGGATGCAACTTATGTGGGATTGACTTCTTTTGAATTTGTTTTCATTATGCATCTAATGAGAAAAATTTTAGAGATATGTGATTTGCTTTGTCAAGCTCCGTAACTTCGATCTTAGGATATTTTGAATGCAATACATCTAGTTTCTTCAACTAAGTTACTCATTCAAAAATTAAGAGATGAAGGATGGGATGAATTAATTTCAAAAGTAAAATCTTTTTGTGAAGCAATCAAATACCCATACCAAACCCGAGTGCTCATTATGTTGTAAGAAAAAGAAGGGCTTGTCATCAATAAGATGTAATTACGATTGAACATCATTACAAAGTTGATATATTCAATGTTGTGATAGATTCTCAATTGCAAGAGCTGAATAATAGATTCAATGATCACACAAACTTCTCAAGACTTCTCTAGGAATCTTCCTAGGATCAAAGCATTGTCAACTATATTTGATTTATGTCAATGGCTATGAAGATAAGAAAATTTGAAAGTTATCCACTTGTTTATAGAGTGATAACACTTATTTTTACTCTTTCAGTTTCTACAACAACCACGAAATAGTCATTTTCAGCTATGAGCATAGTTAAGATTAAACTTCGTAACAAGATAGAAGATGACTTTCTTTTCGATTATTCATTGATGTATATTGAAAAAGAAATTGTTAAAAATCTTAGTATGGATTCGCTTATAGATGATTTTTGTGACTTGAAAGAACGAAGATCTCTATTTTGAGTGATTATATTTTGAGATTATTTTAAAATATATATTTTTATGTTATTTATAATATCTATAAATTTGTGTAAAGCATGACAAATTTATAAAAAATTATTTTGACTCCCGTGAATATTTGATCATGCGTCCGTCACTAGTTACCATCAAGTGTAAAGATTATGTAATCGCTAAAGTGTTGATAGACAATGGCTTTGCCCTTGACGTTCTAGCAACATGATAGCAAAAGCAAATGATGGATCAACTCAATAAGTGATAAGTGATATTTACATCGATTTGAATATAGAGACACAGCAGTTTCGAATTACTTTTTAGGTAATTGACATCTAGCCTCCCGCATGCTTTTAATTTGCAAAGAACCATTTTTAATTTTTTTTTTCCAAAAAAAAAAGGGTAACCTCTTGCTAATTCTTATTTTATTTTTTTAATTTGGCATCACTTGAAAGTGATAATCGCTGTTTCTGCACTTTCTGGATTAGCTTTTAAAGTGGAGCACCATTTGTGGCTCAAAATTAAAAAGCAAGCTTCCGTATATGGCAGATTCTACCGACATTTTAGAAGGCATCACACACCAAAACAAAAATTAATAAAAAATAATTTATAGGTCTCTGATCATGATGATAATAACAAAGTCTAAACTCAAATGTGAAGAGGCTTGGAATGCATTTGGAATGAATTTTAACTCAAATAAATAATTAATAGTAAAATTCGTACAGTTTCTTCAAAGCAAAATTTTAATGTATGTATAAAAATAGCTTACGAACAAAAGTAATATTTCTAATAAAATGACTTATTTAAAAAAATAAAATAAAAAGTCATGAAGCTAATTCATTTTATAATTAGTTCATATGATGAATAGCATTACGAGGTTGCATTTTTAAAATCATTCAGAAAAAATTTAATTTCAATTAACATGTAAATTGGTCCAAAAATATATTTACCATCTAATAACAATAAAAACAAAGCAACATGGGGGCTAGTGATTATAACTAAGCATGTAGCATAGAGGTAATTTTGAATTTGATTCCTACCAGTGAATTCATTTTTTCAAACACTAATGGAAATTGGGATATATAGAATTTGATGCTATTTTGTTGAAAGAGATTTGTGATAAATCTTTGAGTTTAATTGAACTTTTGGATTTGATAAATTCATTGTCTCGTTTTTTCTTTTTATTATTTATTATAGTAGAATTTTGATATCGGTATTGTCCATGACCATATAATAGAAAGTTAATGGAACCACAATAATTTTTTTTTATTATTATGATATTATCCTTCCTTTAGTTTTTTTGTTTTTTTTCACCATTCGATTAGACTTTACAAAAAAATTTTTTTTTTATCGAAATGACTCGCAAATCCTTACATTTTGTTGGAAGAGAGTGCAAAGAAAATAAATCCATACGAGGACCAATGCCTCTGTCACATGTCATATATTGTGTATCCCAAGCATATTTAGGATCATTTGAGCCCGGCCCATCTACCACAATGAAGCATTTTTTTTTCTTTTTTTTTTTTAGTATATAAGAATTAAGCTTATATATATGAAGAAGAAAATTTTTTCAATTCCTTTTCCAAAATTTGAATTGAAAAAATTTTTGTTTAGATAAATGATTATGTTGTCCTAATAACTATGGATTCTTACTTGCAAAACTGCTAATGGGACATCCATCAAATATTGTTAATGGGACAAATGATTATGTTATTAATTAAAAAATATATTTATAGCAAAGTGCGTAGTGATGTTATTTTAAATAAAAAGTCATGAATGCCAATGCATTTTCTAATCAATCCATATTATGAATAAGACTCGCATGGGGTAGTGATAATAATTAAGCATGTAGTAGAATCAAAAAAGAGCTCTCAGCAGTAGTTGCACGCCCCGGAGAGAGAAAGAAGAGAAAGATGCTCTCCTCCTATGGAGATCTTTCCTCCGGTTCCGGTCGGCGCCATCATTGAACTTTCCGTCCCGTAACCTTCGCTCCCTCTTCGACCCTTCCCCTCCCACCTTTCTTTGTTACTACTCACCTTCCCCTCTTCCCCCGGTTTCTCTCTCCTCGTTCCTTTTCCTTTTTCTCTTTCTCCGACTTTGTGTCTCTTTGCCTTCTCCTTCTTAGGCCATGGTAAAAAAGAAGAAGAAATCGGTATCTAAAATGAAGGAACCACCAACTCGAATCGATCATTACTCTAGCTGTTCCGATGAACCCCCTTCGAGCTTTCTCGTTTCGAAACTCGCTCCTCGACTAAAATCCGCCACTTCGTGGTCAGTTGGGTCCAGACTCGGTTGCCAAAACTACTCCACTTGTGAATGTGGATGTGAAGATTACTCTAGTAAAGAAGATTCGAGTTTTGATGAAGACGAATCGGATTTAGATGAGGAAGAGAGCTCTACGCATTCGTAGCCGAATGAAAATTTGGGTTCCCGCCCGAGCGAGAATGAAAATTTAGGTTCCCGTCCAAAATTCTCAAAATCTAAAATTTCATATTTGAGTGAAAATTTAGGTTCCCGCCAAAATTTTTCAACCTTCAAATTTCCTACCCAAATGGTCGTCGAGACAAACACTCTTATCGCTCATCTTAAGCCTCTTCCCCCTCGAATAATGGACTTATCACCGACAGGTGTGACTAGCAGAGGGTTAAGTGATGCTCGCTTCCTCTCCATCAAGCTTGCTTCGAACCTCCAACCGCAGTCTACCCCAACCCTCAAACTCCGATCGGCCTGTGTACATCTCGACCTTCCTAATGCCAAATGGCGAGACCTATTTGCTACTTATCGTGATGCCGCATCGTGCCCTAAGCTCACTCATTTTACCGCCATAACTGAAAGTAAAACCCGTGTCTTGCTTGCCGATGACCCAACACGTGAAATGTAGAAATGTTGTTTAATTGGATATGTTGTCGAGAAATCTTCGAGTTTTTAAGCCCTCGACAGGATTATTGATATTACATGAAAATGCAAAGCTACTCTCTCTATTCATGACTCGGTTGGCTTGTTTATAAATTTTCCTTCGAAGAAGATAAGTTATCGATGTTGAACGACGGCCCATACTTGATCTTTGGCCGACCCTCGTTGCTTAGGCTCATGCCCGAGTTCTTTGATTTTTCGAACAAAGTGATGTCGTTAGTGCCGGTTTAGGTGAAATTTCCTAATCTCCTCCTTAACTGCTTGGTCTCTCTTGTGTCTTTCGAAAGTTACATGCCTCGCTAGGCAAACCTATCCAAGTGTGATCGGCTCACAATCTCTATGGAAAGGATTTCTTATGCTAGGGTTTTGGTGGAACTCAACATAATGGAGGAGCTATCGAAAATCATCAACATTGGGCCGCCCAATGGTTCCACCCTTCTTCAGCAGGTTATGTATAAAACCTTACCTACGTATTGCAAGACTTACCAAGTTTTGGGACATTCTACTATCTCTTATGGGAGGCAAACACCAATGATTATTTCGAGCAATGCTGCAAGCGCTAATGGGACTCGCGAGCCACCCTCCGACCAAGATTAATGTTGATAACATGGTAGGCTCGTACTGTGCCTCGCTAGTCATGCCGGCATTTCATCGGAGGCTACTCGGTTTGACCTTATGGTTTTTGAGGCAATGGCAGCTTCAAAGGAGTGGGTAACATTTAATGGAAGAGCCGGCGCCAAATCCCACTCTAATCGTAAGCATCAATCTCGACGAGCTTTCGCCTTCTTCGTCGAGACAGCCCTACTCGTGTGCGGGCTTAAGAAACTCGATCATGTATAGGCCTCCGGACTACCGCTGGCCGGATAAGGGTAAGGAAATTGAGGCAGGTTCTTCCAGTTTAGAGCTTCGCTCAAGGCCGAGGGATAACATGGAAACCGTTGACGCAATGTCGGTAAGCCTCGAGGGACCGGCTGTGCCCGTGGATAGGGAGGCGAGCCCTCAAAGTCGAGATGATTTACGCCGCTTAGCATCGATTGAGGAGGATCTATGTGCCAATGCAGTGGCTCGGTCGAATTTAGTAGTTTCGGTTATGCCAGGCAGCACCACGGGCGGCAGGTCTTACTATGCAATCCCAAGAGTTACCATAGTAGCGAAAGATTAGGAAGTTCAAACGAAGTGCTAAGGGGGTTTTGACCTTCTCACTGTTTCATGATTATTCTTTATTGAAATGTTAAGGGTCTAAATAGTCTCCTAAAATAGCATGAGGTTCCGGGCTTCATGAGAATAAAGAAGTTAGATGTTTGCGCTTTGGTCGAAACCAAGCTCGACCTCGCTAAGTCGGCTCAATTGCATAAGTTTTGGTTCAAGTGATGACGGGTTATCTCCAATGCCTCCGATGCCTCTAAAGCCCTAATTGTCCTCTTTTGGAACCTAGATATAGTATTGATTGATCTTCTTAATGTTACCGCCCAAGGGCCGCACGTCCACATTCATAACCTCGTTCACCGATCGTCGTTCTATGCCATTTTTGTATATGGCTTTAATACAATCACTCAACGATGGAAGCATTGGGAGGACCTTCATAAATGGAATCCCTAAATTCGGTGGCTTGTGCTTGGGGACTTCAACTCCATCCTCTCATAGAAAGATAAGCACAATGGTGCGACGGGGTCTACCTATGAGACATCGCACTTCCGGTCATAGTGCTTGGATCTTGGCCTTAGGGACCTCACGTACACGGGTAGCCAATTTACTTGGAACAGGTGGGAGTGTCCGGACTAAGATTGACGGAGTCCTAGCCAACCTCCTATGGCCCATGTCTTCTCTCCCAGCTTCTATCCATTTTAGTCCGTTGACTAGCTTCTCCAATCATACTCAAGCTTGGATTTAAATAGGCGGCTATCCTCCCCCCGATCGAAAACCTTTCAAGTTTTTCAACATGTGGGCTTACCATGACAACTTTCTTCGACTGGTTGATCGTCATTGGTTCTACGACACCGGGGCGCTCCTATGTTTATTTTATGCCAAGACCGAAGACTCTAAAGGGGCCTTTGAGGGAACTCAACAAGCTCCACTATAGCCATATTTTTGAGCGAGTGGCCGGAGCGACCGCCGATCTTGATCACCTTCGCAAGCCTTACGGTCGACACGGATAACATCGGCCTTCTAGAGCGAGGAGTAGTGATAGAGGCTAGCTTGGGCAACCTCAAGTCCGTCGACAAAATGTTTTTTAGCCAAAAGCTCAAATGCAAGTTCCTAGAAGAGAGTGACAGAGGCATTCGGTTTTACCACTCCCCATGAACCAAAATCACAAGAGAAACTTTATTGCTGCAATAGAAGACGCCGAGGGGCGACTTTTAACTTCTTTTTCTGCAGTGGGTCACATTTTTATCGGCTACTATCGAAGTCGCTAGGTACTACTCGGGCTACCACACCCCTTGATAGTGATGTTATTTCCAGTGGGCCTTGCCTTTATTCTAGCTCTCACGACTTCCTCTTAGCCCCGATTTCTAATGAGCTAATCCGCAAGACTCCGTTTGGGATTGACAATGACAAAGCCCCGTGTCCGGACGGTTACTCCTCTTTGGTTTTTAAGCAAGCTCGGGATATTGTGGGGGTTGACTTCAGTACTGCTCGTGAAGGACTTCTTTTGTTTAGGGCATTTGCTTAAACAAGTCAATCATTCTGTTATTACCCTCATTCCCAAGTCTGCTAATGCCTCTTCTCCTTCAGATTTTAGGTCTATCTCGTGTTATAATGTTGTGTACAAGGTGATCTCGAAAATCCTCTCTTCGAAGTTAGCGAGAGCTTTGGTCGAAGTTATCGGTCCCATGCGGAATGCTTTCTTGGGTGAAAGGAAAATGTCAAACAATATCCATCTTCTCCAAGAATTGCTCCGTCAATATGGCTAAAAGCGCACCTAGTCGAGATGCCTTTTGAAGGTGGACTTCAAGAAAGCTTTTGATTTAGTGCAATGACCTTTCTTACGAGCCTTTTTCTTGCGAGCTTGGCTTCCCAACCGCATTTGTCCATTTGGTCATGGCTTGTGTGGAATCTCCCTTCTACTCGTTTCGGTGAATGGCAACCTGTTTGGCTTCTTCCAAGGCAAAGATGGGATTCGACAAAGGGACCCTCTCTCCCCTTACCTCTTCATAGCGTGCATAGAATACTTCTCCCGTATGCTTTTGATCGCTTCGAAAGTGGTGACTTCGCATTTCACCCGCAAGTGTGAGTTCTAAAAAATTAGTCACATTGCGTTTGCGGATGATATTATGCTCGCTTTGTCGAGGCGATAGGCCCTCGCTTCGGTGCCTATCGCACCAGCCTACACACTTTTGGCAATACCTCTAGCTCGATTATAAACTCGGCCAATTTTTTTATCTATTTTGGAGGCATTGGCGTAGCTCGAAGCAAGCTCTTCTTCGAGATACCGGGTTTACGGAAGGCACCTTTTCCTTTCGATACCTTGGGGTTCCACTAATCCCCACCGTCTATTGGCCAACCAGCTTCTCTCCTCTATTGCGAGCTTGAAGTTGACGATCCAATCATGGATGGGGAAACACCTATCTTACGCCGGTCGACCGAAACTTTTAAGCTTGGTGCCGACGAGCATCACTCGCTCCGGTTGGCCATATTTCCTCTTCCCACAATGGTTCTTTTCCACAACACCAGCATTCGTAGAAACTTCTTTTGGACTAGGGATATAAAGAAGAGCCATTCTACCCCGGTAGCTTGGAAAGAGGTCTCGCTACCCGAAAGAGGAAAGGGGTCCGGCGCTCCGGCATTTACCCACCCTCAATCAATGCTTCCTTGCAAGGCACTCGTGGAATGTCCATCTAAAAACGGACTTGATTTAGATCCAATGGGTTCATCATTTCTACTTAGGGATCATACTCGTCCGGACTCGCCCAAGACGCAAGACCGCCTCCCTTATGTGAAAGGCGATTCTCTCTACCCATGACTAGTTAATTGAAAATTTTGGGGCTAGCACTCCGGTGGAGGTGAGAATTGAAACTCGGGGCCAAGCTAAATTCATCCGCAACGCGTATCGGGATTTTCGCCCGATAAGTATATTGGTTAATTGGAACACGAGAGTTCGGGAACAGTGGGCTTTGTCGAGGCATGCTTTTGTTCTCTAGTTGGTAGTTAAAGGGAAGCTAAAAACTACGGATCGCCTTCGCTTTATTCCGAATGATGTCAATCGTGACCTATGTCGCCTAGCTTCCAAATCTCATAGCCACCGTTCTTTGAGTTCGCTCGGACAACGAGCCCGTGGGCTCGGTTGGACACCGGCCGCGCATCCGAAGAAATATGTCTACCCTACTAAGCGTTATTCGAGGCCTTTCTCTCCGGAGGAATAATTTGGAAGCTAGAATGCGTAGAGTCTCACCGAGCATTATGGTTTACCTTATTTGGGAAGAGAGGAACAAGAGAGTCTTCGATGGCACTCCCTCCCCAATCGACCGACTCTTCTAAAAGTTTCGTGTTCTTTTCTTCATGATCTTTCACTTTCGTGAGAAGGATCATAATGTCCCGAATGTTGGTTGACGGCTCCCACTTCGCCGCCCTAAGCTCGGGCTTGGTTGTTACCTCGCTAGCTCGGTTCGCTTCGATTCTATTATATCTTTTGGTCTTATCGGCGAAAGTTTTTGTATGTCGTTGAGCATTTGTACATGGTTCCAGTTAGCTAGTCCATGATCACAGTTTGGTTTTTCCTAGAATCTCATATGTCGATTCCTCGAACAACCCTCTAGTTTTAGCTCTTTTGCTTTGTTCTTTAGAGTCCGTTCCCAAATTTTTATACATCCCGTATATGCTACTCTTACTCGGTTCTCCAACTCGTTACATTTTGATTTATATATTTACATTTAAATAAATAAAAAAAAATTAAGCATGTAGCATAAAGGTAATTTTGATTTACCATCCATAAATAAAAAATAAGTGAATACACATCATTATTGCTTGTTTTGGAGTAAATATCACTTTTATTTGTCCGTTAAACTTTCTAAAGGTCGTTATGAAATATTTTTAATTTTATTTTTCAATTTCACGCTAGATAAAAATTTAACAACATAAGTACTTGAAAAAAATCAACAATAATTTTTCCAAAACTTAAATTTTAAAATTTTAAATCGATAAAACTAAATAAAAATTAGTCAAAATTTTAATTTCTATGATTTAACCTATAAAGACCAGGGGACAATGGAGTATTATTTATCAACAAATCGTTATGATATTAAATGATCATGACATTCATATTATATAAAAGTTTGATGGTAAGGATATTTTTGGAACAACATGTACATTAATCAAGATTATAGCTTCTTTTTTTCAAACGATCCTAGAAGCATACCCTCTGCATCAACATGATGCATTAAAAAAATATTCATCATATATATATATATAGTTAGAAGTATGAATTCGAAAAATTAAAATAAGGAAGAAACTTGCTTGATTATTAGGATAATTCTTTAACGTTTTTTATAAGAAGACACACGAAGAAAAGAGTAAATTATAAATTAGTTCTTCTAGTTTTGAAAAAAGTATTAATTAGTAATTATTTAGTTTAATATTTTAATTTTTTTAACATAAATCTTTTTATTTTTTTATTTATTTTGATTTGTAATTTTAAAAAATAAAAAAATAAAAATAAAAAATAAAGATATGAAAAGATTTATGAAAAAATGATATTTTTTTGAAATAAATTAATATTAAATTAAATATAAACAAAGCTGATAACAAACTAAATAATTATTTTTTTTAAAAAAAATAAGATTAATTAATTCATTTCTAGAACGAAAAAAGAGTAATTTACAATGTACTGATAAAGTAAAATGTTTTTGTATTGAGTGAAAGGTTAAAAAAAAAAAAAAAAAAGGCCCTTTTTCATGCTTAAGCCATTCCCCATTCACCAAGTGGATGGAAAATCTTATCCTTTATTTATTCCTTTTGCGGCCATCACTCGTGCTGCATACCTATCCATAGTTACATATTGCGAGGCCATTATCCTCCTACAGTCCATTTAAATACACATATCTATATATCTACGCAACATGTTTTTATCAAGTGGTTTAATTTGTGCTTATTTTTTAAATTCAGAATTCAATATATTTTTATAAATTTAATTGTTTTTAATATATAATTCTACCATTTTGTAAATATTTTCATCTGAAATAACCAAAATATCTTCAAGCGAAAAATCTAAACCCAACTGAATTTATTAAAAAAATAATAAACATAAAAAAGACGAATTTTTACATCATGTGACACTTTGTTTTATTTTTCAAAACTAATTTTTTAGATTGAATTTGAGTTCATCATAATGAACATATTTCCAATATCAATTCATATGAAAATATTGGATAAAAGAAGAGATTGAAAAATGACTTCCAAATATAATAAAAAAAATTGATAGCAATTAGATTTGTTCTGGAAAATTGAAGATAAATCCTAAAACATAAAAATAAACTGAACCTAATTTCTCCTAATACACTTGTCCAAAATTCTATTACAACTGCAGGACCACAATATTAAACATTAACTTGTAATGTGTTGTATGGCTGGAGAGTATATATATAGAGGTATCCTACACGCATTTCCTATTTCCTTTCCCCAGCTACATCCACCCCCAACGGCTACTTAATTGCTAAGGTGGAAGAGACGTACATTGGTCCCAATGTATCCTGCAACAAACACTTCCGTCTGCCTCTCACCATTTTCTCTTCAGTATTTGCTTGTAAGTAATTGTCTTCCAAGTTTTTTCTTGTCTCATATCAAGCGAAACATGATCATGAAAAGAGTACCAAACCTACTTGTTTCTTTCAACTCCAAATTAAGGCTCTTTCCAATCTAAGGATAGGAGAATTAATATCGCATGGGTGGTTTGTCCTAAGCAATGAATGCATGGCTCTATTAGAAGGATTTTGATTTTCTGCTAGGGAGCTAATATCCATATTCGAAAAGATGTATGTATATGCATGAGTGGGTCTCTATGTTCATATTGATGAGCATTACCCACAATAATAAAAACTAATATTTTCAATAATCCAAAATTAAAATCTAAACTATTTGGTTAGGTTATGAATTAATGATCTTGTTTACAAACATTTCATTTTTTTCCACTCTCAATCAATGTATTATATTTTCTAAATTTAATTTATTGAACTTAGTATTTATCAGAAAATTTATTGAATTTGTTTGGTTAGGTGACAGCTTTGTTCAAAAATTCATAATTATTTCAAACACTAATGGAAATGATGATATATATATATATATATATATATATATATATATATATATATATATATATATATCAACCAACTTGAAGTAGCAGAACAACCCCGTACGTGCTATATATATATATATATATAACATAACATGTGATAAATAGAACTCAATTGTTGCACCAACTCAATTAATAAGAGATCAACGATCTACAGCTCATTTGATTTATCTAATTAATACTCCTCGATCGAGACTTCTAATCCACTTCTATCATGTAAAGCACAGTGTCATCCACCATGTAAGAGGAGACTAACTTTGGATCCACTACTCGCTCAATATGAGCTACTGCTTTTTTGGTTCTTCCAAACCAACTACTAAATAGGTATGCATTATGTCATGCAATAAGTTATATTCAAGTGGAGCAATTATGCCAGAAAAAAACTATATATAATTGCATTAGCAAACACTTATTTAATTTTATCTGTTATATATCATCTAGCTGCTGCATTTTTTTCGTTATTTATCTACTAATTAACAGAATTACATTTTCTATACGGCATCATGCATGCCACCATCATATTATATATCTTATCAACAAGTTAAATTTTATTCAGCAAAAACAAACGTTACTAAAAGAATGAGAAAAACACAATTAAAAGAATGAATTAACAACAATACAAAGAGAAACTAATAATAATAAACCAAACCTTTTAAATATTTCTCCTTTTGTTCTTCCTAAAGACCACCTCAGTATCAAGTCCAAACCCATCAACCTTCCTAACCTCCACCAACTTGGACTCTTTAAACAACTCAACCAATGGCTCCACACTGTACAAATCATTAGCTGAATATTTATCAGCCCGTCTTGATAACGCCACCTGTATAACACAAACTCCACCAGGCTTCAATGTCCGTTCGATCTCCCCAACAAATTTCCATGGATACAGGGCATGATCAAACACATTAGAGAACTCAAAATCGAATGTTTCGTTCATGAAAGGCTGTGCATGAAAATCTCCTTTTACTACAAGTGGCGGATAAGGCACTAAGTCAATGCCGATCGAGTCATTCACGCCTATACTTTTTAGGGCCAACACTTCTTGCCCCACTCGAGCACCGATCGATAATGCCTTTGAATCGTTAAACAAGAGGTTCCTTTGCTTTAAAGACTCAAAAAACTTGGCAAACACGCGGACTTTACGATCCCAATCCCGTGTTGTCCATATTTCTCGGAGTTTAGGGTTTAGGGTTTTCTTCAGTTGTCGCTGAATGTATTCATCGTAGGAAGAATACCCCGGTCGGATACGAAGGCCACCAACGTTCTTGGAGGTGGAGGTGTTTGGATATTGGGAGGTGGTTTTGCTGTCGTGGGGAGTTTGAAGGGCTATGAATATGAGGACTGAAAGAGAGAGCAAGAGGGAGAGAAGGAAAGGTAGTTTTGGAATGGTGGTGTTCATGTCTCATATATTTACAAGAATACAGGAGATTTGCAATCTTCTTGCCCTCTTTTGAGAGAAGGAGAGAGAGGGGTGAGGTTTTGAAAATTTGATGGTGATTTGAGGGAAAAATATGAGGGAGGATTTTCGATGATTGTGATAAGTTTGAGGTTGTCTTGTGAGAGACGTTTGCCTATTGTTTGGACTGCGAATTGTGGAAGATACCAGAGGCCATTGGCTGGCTAGTGACTTCTAGAGGATAACAAGAATCTGTAATAGAGAAGAAATAGAAAAATCTATATGAAAATAAATAAAAAGTTGATAATAATATAATAATATTATTCCAAAAAAGTTTATATAATATATAAAAAGGACATGGGATTTTCGGTTTGTGAGTTGCGATTTGATTTTTTTTTAAAAAAAAAGGAGGTCAAAATTTCTTGCCTCCATCAAAACTTTTTGTTTATGAAAAAGTACTGAGATCGTTTTAAGACCAATATTGTTCAAGAAATAACCTCTTTGATTTCGAGAATTCAAAAAACGATAGAGTACAGAAACAATGGGATCTCTTAGACGGGCATATATTATTTTTTGGACACATATCAAAATCATTAAACCTATATGCAAGGTTTGGATGAGTAGCTGCTAAGTGGAATGTCGACAGTAAAGGAAGACAGGCTCAATATTCCTGTCAACGTGAGCTCATGTCTTCACTCATAAAAATACACGGCCCCCTAGTAATCTATGAAAATTGCACGTTTTTAGCACGGATAACCAGTAGTTCATGAACAACGATTAAAGATTTTTACATTTGTTCCAATTGAGGAACAAGAAATAAAAAGGACGAACTTAGCCGAATAGACCGAGTAAATTATAATTATTCCTTTTAGTTTTATAAAATGGATCAAATAGTTTTTTTTTAGTATTAAAAACCAATTAATAATCTTTTTATTAGTATTGACTATGCTTCATATAATATTAATTTATTATAAACATATTTTCTTTTCTTTTTCGTTCCATCAAGTTGAACATAATATCTATTTATTTATTTTTATTATTTCTATTTTTTAAAAAATAAATTAGAAAATGTTATGAAATAGACGGAACAGACTAATTCATTAGTTTTGAAAATTAAAAACTAGAAAGACTATGTTATAAATTACCCTTAATATACCTTGCCACCTTTGTTTAAAGATAATAAGTAAGAAAAAAAAACATAAAGAGTAATTTTTTTTTTTTTAGAGTAATGATATTGAAAGAACGAATTCCTTTTTTTTTTTTTTTTCCTTGGGCTTTAAGACCTTGGAAAAAAAAAGGAGAGAATTCCATTACCGAACGCTTTAATTTAATAGATAAATTTTTTGAAACTTTGATTTTAGAAATTTTTTTTTAAAGAATGATAATTATTGTTTCCTTTTTATTATTAAAATAGATTAACTAAATGTTAACATGAAATTTTTATTTTATTACTTAAATTAAAGATACATGTTATTAATCTCACCAAAAAAAAGAAGATACTAATTAATATTAATGGTAATTATTTGAAAATTATGATTACTGATATCAATTCTTAATTATTTTTTTATTTGAGAAAATTAGTGATTTCACATTAATCATATTTATTAAATTTTTTTTATCTATAAAAGATTTGTTAAGTGTTGTCATAAATCTTTCCAAAATATTAAAAAATTTAAATTTACTATCATAAATCGGTTGCAAATGATTTTTAATTGCTTTTTAAAAACAAGTAAAACTAATTTTCGATTGAAACGCAAACGAGCTTGCGACCACATATTTACAATCATTTTTATTCAGCAACAATAGTTGCTTTTTGATCGAATTAGGTATTATTTTTTACGGGGCTCTGAACTTCAGATAAAAATGTCATAATGATGTGGTCTCTTTTATGATTAAAAAGATAATGGATACTGACGTACGGCGTATGATGAACCAATCTACTCAAAGTGCTTGCAAAACAAGTCCTCTTGATTAGTTGTGTTATAAACTAAAATTTGGGTTATATTTATTTTTTGATATTTTTCTTTATTTATTTTTATTTTATTGTATTAGTTTATCTTATTTTCATTTTTTTATCTTTATCTTTTTTTTTTACTTTTATTAGCTTCATTTAGTTTTAAGAGTTATCTTTTATTTTTCCAAAAGAGGGAAAATGAAAATATAAAAAATACAAAAATTATGTGACATGATTAATCATGGGCATAATTGCATTAAATCACGACTGAAATTGAAAGCCCTTAGGGACTCAATTGAAAAACAATAAAAATGGAAGAAATAAGACATAATTGACAAGAATGGGAGGGTGTGGTTGTAAAAATTGTTAAAAGTTGGAGGACCATTCCGACAATTGCCTAAACAAACATTTGAGACAGTGAAGGTGCTGTTCACTATCTCTTTCGTTTCAAAGCCATAATTGGTTTTGATCAAGCGTGGTTTCCTGCCCAGTTTTATCCTAGTCCAGTTCATATGTCCTTCTCTTTCACTTTGGCTGCAAGACATGCTGTAAGGAGGAAAAACAGCAAAAGGAGGAGCGGGAGCCTGTACCAAAAGAGATCAAAAGGCTAAAAGGATGAGAGAGAAATGAAGGGTTGTCATCAATGGCAAGAAAACAGGTATAAAGAGGGACTTGTGTAGGGTTTTAGGACAGAGGCTTTTTCTTGAAGTTTTGAGAGGAAAAGAAAAAACAGAAAAAAGAAAACATAGAGTAGCTAGTCTTTGAGGTTTCTTGGGTTTTCAGAAGCAAGGGTCATCTTTTGGTCATCTAAAAATACAGAGGGATAAGAATTTCAGAGAGAAAGGAATCAATGGAGAGGACTTAAGCCTCAGAAAGATTTCTCTATTTGAAGAACAAGAAACATATGAGATAAAATAAAAAAAGGTAGGGGCAAGGAGGAATTATTAGGGGCTATGAGGAGGAGAAGGCTTCATCTCTGTGTTTTGTGAAATCTGATGAGTGGAGTAAGGTGTTACCATCATCACTGTCATTTATCCCTGTATTGAGGAAATCTCACTATTCAAACCACTACCAAAGTCCCTGCATTCATCCCTCAATCATTCCATCAGGAAAGTCCAAAATCTTTCCCCATCCCTGTGATTAATTTCCATTTTTTGTAGCATAAGAAATACGATTTTTCACCTCTGATTAGTTTTGATCATTTTTGTTTCTATTTACCTGCCAAATTATCAGGGATAGAGAGCTCACTAGTTTATCCCTTTTCCTTGCTTAATGATGTATAACTCTGGTCATTAGTTGACTTTAGTGCTTGAAGAATAGTGAGAAATCAAATACTATCACTGCCCAAATTGCGTGAAATAGTAGGACAATAGACTGAGTTAGAAGAACAAGGAAGAAGAAGAAAGAAATAAAGGAAAGAATGAAAAAGGGCTAGGGGAGAAGAGAAAAAAGGAAAAGAAAAGGGCTTGGCCCAAAGAGAAAAAAATAAAAAGGGAAACATGGACTGGGTTTAGCACAGCCCAAGAAGAAAAGAAGATGAAGAGAAGTTGAGAGATGGGCTAGAGTTGGGCTTTGCTGGTTTAGGCCTAAGTTGGGTTAGGAGATGAGCCCATCTAGGCTTGGTTTTGGTTAGGCTTAGGCTAGGCTAAGAGAAATAGATTTGAACTAGGCTTGTGAGGTTGGGCTTGGTTGGGTTTCAAAAGGCTTTGGGCTGGTCCAAAAAGAATGTGAGCCCAATGGGCTGAGAGCCTAACAGATCCAAAGCCCCAATAGTTTTTTTTTTTTAGGATTTATTTTTAATAAAATTTCCTTGCTTAATTTAATTTAAAATTTTTACAAGTGTTACATTTGGTTACTTTAAGCTTAAATTTAAAATTTTAGAATATTTTGACTTCTAGAGATCAATCTTGATTTATATATCAAGAAAATTGAGTAGTCATGATGCTTTGATAAAGGTCAATCTTGATTTATGTATCAAGAGATAAAAGATGTGTCTTTTATTCTTGATATATTACCAATATATCTATGAGCCTATTAAATCACACGCATAAGTTTAACTATTCACGTAATAAAATAGAAGCAAAGATTTTGAAAAAGCTTACGAAAATGAAAAGTTTTCTATTTTGGAAAACGTTTCATAAAATGGAAGTTTGCTAAAAAGGAAAGTTTCATATTTTAGAAATCAATTTTCTAATTTGGAAATCGAGTTCCAAACTTGGAAATAAGTTACTTAAAAAGAAAATTAGTTTCCTAATTTAAGTTTAAGGGCAATTTGAAAAATTATTTCTTAATGTGGGCATCCTAAAAATATCTAACCCAATTTATTTGGATAGTACAAATTAATTAGTGATTAATTGGGTCAAAAGAGTTTGAGCGAATAGGTTTAATTAAAAAACTTGTAAGATATTTTGGTGAAAGGATAAACTTGAACCTTATGGAATAAAGATCAAGGTTTATAAAGATAATATCAAAAAGGTCCACATACATTGCAACTCCTAATCCTTGAAGGACTAGGAAACAACAACCTATAGTCCTTTTAGACTTATTGCCACCACTTCGTTATACTTGAAAGACAAGGAAATCACTCTCCTTATAAATAGAAGGAGAATATAGCAAACGAGAAAAAAAAATTATATTAGGCATATAAGACATTATAGGAAAAAAAGAGAAAATAGTTTTCTCCCTCCAAAGACATGCCACATCTCTCCATCTCAATTAGGGTTGTTATAAAAATATCTATGAATAGATTTCTAAAGAAAAAATATTATACAAGTCAAAAAACGATGAAGCTAGCACTTTATAACTTCTAAGTGCTTCTTGTGTAGGTGTTTGGACTACGTGGATTATCGATAGAGGCTGAACAGTTGGATGACTCTTTTCTACAAAAGCTAAATATGCACTACAAGAGGTAATCCTTTACTCATGCTTTAATTCATGTATATATGATTAGTTGATTCAATAGTCCGATCTTAGGAGCCTTAAATAGAAGAAAATTATTTGTTCTATTCCACACCTTCATATGATGCATGATCCTTCACCACTACTCGTG